CCTCGGGCCACCAGGGCTCGTGGCAGATTCAGCACCCGCTTATGCGCATTAGAGCTATTCTGCGGTCTGTCCATCATAGGATTACACACATTTTCCGTGAGGAGAACAGACCTGCTGACTACCTCGCCAGTCTTGGCGCCACCACACCTGACCTACACACGTTTCAGACCGATACTGATCCACTCCGCCTTCGCACGCTGGTACGGATGGACCAGCTTGGATATCCATCTTTCCACTTTTAGTAGATTAGAGTTTGTTCTCATTTGATCATACATTTATTCCGGGCACCTGTTAGCCCGATGACAGACCTTGTATTTTTCCTTTTTCTGTTTTCTGGTTTTGTTTTTTTTTTTGTTTTTGTGGTTGTTTTCTTTTTTTGCCTGTGAGACTATGTTGACTGTATTTGTTTTATATTTGGGCCCTTTTTGGGGTCTTGATCTATGTACAGGTTGGGGATCCAGCCCAATCCCCCGCCTCTCGGGCCGCTGTTTTATAAAAAAAAAAAAAAACCTAGCAACTACAAAGAACTAACCTAGCAACTACAGAGAACTAACTTAGCAACTATAGAGAACTAACATAGCAACTATAGAGAACTAACTAACAACTACATACAACTAACCTAGCAACTATAGAGAACTAGCCTGACAACTACATAAAACTAACCTACCAACTACAGAGAACTATCCTAGTTGGAAGGTTGGTTGTCAACGGTCAACGCCGCAAGTCAACGGTCAACGCCTAGAGTCAATGGTCAACGCTGGAAGTCAACGGTCAACACCAAGAGTCAACGGTCTACGCCGGAGTCAACGGGTCAAAAATAATATTTAAATAATTAAAATAATATAAAGAAAAGAGTAAATCTTGGCCACACATGATGTACAAATCTTGTGGCTAAAAATGAGTCTCACGTCCTCACTTTAAAAAAGCAGCCGCATTTGAACTAATCCCTATATATATATATATAGGTAAGGGATCATATGAGAATGATCTCTAGTGAAAGAAATAAGAATGATCCTACATCATTGGATCTATCAAATGAATGGATATGATCAAGTCAAAACATAATAAATCCAGTCAAATATGAATGGCATTTTCGCAAATAATTGCACACAATATGGTCAATTATAAAATTAGACCACTAAATGGGGGTAGTTAAGACATTATACACACAAGTGGCCCCACCACTAACACCTCTAACCTACCCCTCTCTCTCTCTCTCTCTCTCTCACATAAACACACACAACACAC